TATTTGTATAAATCCAAAAATTGCAAATGCATATTTTATAATTCTTATATTTTTAGTAAATTATGTATAATAACGCGATAAATATTTATTTTTATATTTCTAGAAAATGCAAATTTATCAAAAACAATGATTTAAAAGGATAGAATGTATTTTTTATTTATTATTTTATGCATTTTTAATTTATTACTATTTCAAATTCAAGTTTTCATTTTAAAAATTGAATATACAATTTAATTTCATAAATATGATTGATATACAAGTGCTTGTGATTTTAATAATTAAATTTTTATTTTTTTGTGTATTTACATCCATGGTTTTTATTAACTTTGTTATTTGCTCTTATATATTGTTAGAGTTATTATCTATAAGGTTATTTCAAAATTTGTCGTAAAATGATGATTTTTTATCATCAAAGGCTTGTTGGTGCAATTTAAAAAAATATTAGATATGGTTTATATTTTGCTGATATGTGATATGACAGACTTGTGAAAAATATGTATTCATCATAAAAATCAGTACGAATTTTACTTTGGTATTAAAAAAAATATTATATATAGAATTTAATTTAGAAAAATTAAATTCTTTGTGAAAAGTTTATTTAAAGTTCATAAAATTCTTGTGTTGCCACAAGGTTAAAAAAAATATTACTAATTGTCAATATGTTTTTGAAAAAATAGTGTTGAAGTTTTCTGTGAAAGAAAAAATAATTAATAAAAAAATCTTAACAAAGAACTATATATGAATCACATTCGTTCTTTTACATTATCATATCCGTTTGTTATTTAAATAAATTATATCTATTAACCTTAATTTATATTTCATCAAAATGTTTTGTGAAGTTCAAGAAGTCCACAATCGTCAACAAGTTCCAAAAAACATTGAAATTTTATCTGATAAAGTTTTAAATTTGCCAAAACCCCAATTTAAATTTTGTTTTGTTTGGTCGAAGAATGATATTATTAAAAGTATAAATAACAAAATTATAAATCCAGAGATAATATTAAGAATATTTGTATGATTATTCTGAAACTGAACTGAAAAAGAAGAAATTGTTGAGGCTAAAGTTTTGGAAGCCTTTAATAGATGTGAAAAAGTGCAGAAAAACTCATGATGGCAGAGTTATTTATATGGTAAAATTTATAAAAATCATAATTTTATTGAAAGTGTATTTTGTTACATTAATTTGCAATAATAGGTACAATAAATGCACAATTTTATAAACATCTGAACAATTTTCATACAACAACAGTTAAAAACTCACCAGGGGTTATTATTTTAATTTAGTTAATATTACCTGAGCAGGTCATTGGTGAATTCCAAATTTCAGTTATTAACATTTACCAATTTAAAATAATTTTTCCATATAATCATTAGAATCATTTTTCTTTTCTAGTTGGGTGAAAAAGCTTCAGGTTCCCGTGCAAGAATGTCCAAGATTCTACAAATTGCGTGAACAATGTCTCAACAGTGGAACTTTATTCGAGGACCCGATTTTCCGCAGAAGATTCGTCCCTGTACTTTTCCAAACGACCTGATAGGCATTTCAATGGCTCCGACCAATGGTAATAAAAAAATAAAAAATCCTAAAATATCGAAAAATTTATGCTTTATTGTAAAATTCATCCATTCATTCAATCGGAGAAAATAATCTTACAAATAAAGAGTTGGTAACTAGAGTCGACCTTCCTAAATATACCTGAATGATATTAAACCGTGTCAAAAAATTTGCTTTTTGTTAAATGTGTTTATATATATTCAAGTAATTTATCTACTACTTACTATTTATCTTACATAACTTTACTCATTCATAGACCCACTCTAGGATTTCGTAAAAACAGAAACAACTTTAGAGCCAAATCAGATCTTTGGCTGCCCTTTAACACGCAGGACATTCAAATATTTTATTCATCCAGTTTGCATCATTATTTAGTGAAAAACTTACCACCATATCTTATATTTTCTAGGAAAATATTTAGTGATTCAATTAGCTTTTTATTACTCGTGCATATTACATTACTTCTTATAAAGGAAAAATGCAACTGTGTATTTTTCACTATTTATATATCGATGTCATTTTTTATATATAATTGCCAGAAGATTCACTTAATGTCTATGTAGGACTGTTGTAAATATATTGTTGAATGAAAAAAAAAAGAGTGCGCGAAAGGATCACACGCGATTGAAACAAAACTTATTTGCTACTGTGCAAAGTAGCAAATTTAAGTTAAGTAAAATAAATACATCATATAACAATTTTGAATAATGTTTATTAGTAATATAGTAACACTCGTCATGCACACATTTATAAGTGTCGACAATTATACACATTTATATAATGATAATTTATAAATTATATATTTATGATTGCATTAAATATATGTATAATATTCACAAACAATAATGTAATAAAGGTCATACTTGAATATGACATGATCGGTTTAAAGTAATTGCTGATTAATAAATTCTATAATCGTTCACACAGTGTATTATGTTATGTTTGAACAACGCCTAAACAAATATTGTTTTCGTAACTTCAGTCATTCTGTTAATAATTGTGTTTGAAGAACTTCATGTAATTAAAATTAACATACATTCATTTACTGTTTGTATTTTTTACTTTTTCGCTTACGATATAATCTAATTCTTATAACAGCTGTAATATCTGTCTTGCCTAAAAAATTGAAGCCATACTTTTATATTTGTTTTATTTATCAAGCCCTGCACATAGCTTGATCTATGAATCATTTTCTTTTTTATGTGAACGTAATGCAATGATCATCATCAATATTACGAGGTAATAAATTAACCATATTATCAACGTCAACAGGAACATTTATAATTTGGCCAAATATTCCAAATTGTTCATTTGCATGTCTCAATCGTCTAATTTGCATGAAACACAACCTAGGTGAAATTAACCCTTTCAAATACAGTATCTAGTTTAGGTAAATAATTTGGTATAGTAGAAATACAAACCCGTTAAATGTACACGAAGTGGGAATTCTACCCGAATTTAATGCCTTTTGACAAGTTTGACATCCAACCTGATTATTTGAATCAACATTCAAAAAACCTTTATTAAGAATTTGTTTTTGAGCATCATTTGATATTTCTAAGTCACTTTGAAACCAAAGTCGATCACACACAAAACATACATAGCCAAAGCTATCATTTCTGCGATCATTTGCACTACAATTATTTATGGGGGACGGGATAAAATATTCTTCCGATCCTGACATTTTTATTAACTCACGAATTATACTGCTAACCCATGTCGCGCCTAAAGAAGTTTTACTTCAAAAAATGTTTAGAGACTACGAGCTAAATACAAAACTCAAGTGAAAGTCGACACATTTTTTGTTTGTTTTTGACATATGATTTGACATTTGATGTATTTTTGTTTTGCTCGCAGACTAGATCGAATAATTGCGATAGCTGCGCTTACTAGCGTGTAGTCTTCAACTTCACGTTGGCGTTTTCGTTGCATTTGTACGGATTTACACCCGTGTCGCGCCTAATGAAGTTTTTACACCATGTCGCGCCTAAAGAAGTTTTACTTCAAAAAATATCTTACATTTCCTGATTTGTGGGATGGCCCATTCTTGGTTTCCAACTATTCAAATTCGGATATTACAACTCATTACAATTTGTGCTATTACCAAGTCATATTCTTGTCAAGGATTAAGTCCAGATTTCTATTTATTATTGGATTCATCATAAATGATATACACTTGTTCTGATTTTCCAGGAGTTTACTGATGATCCTCAACTATTCGTGGAAGGTTATTCCCGTTTCGACGTCCAACAAGGAGAACTGGGAGATTGTTGGCTCCTGGCTGCTGTTGCCAATTTGACTTTGGACTCTAAATTGTTCTTCCGTATTGTACCTGATGATCAAGGCTTTACTGACCAGTATGCTGGTATATTTCATTTTAGGTAAGTTGATAATGCCATCGGAAAAAGGGCCATCATCATCATCCTAAAAAACTAGTAAGGGGGCTTCCATTAATCACGTGATCAATTTTTCAAGAATTTTGGACCTTTGATACGTGGTGATAATCAAAATTACCCCGCTTCCCTACCAAACATTCCGTGTAATTTTAGTTACCAAAATATTGTAAAAATTTTATTTTTTTTGCGAATGTTTGGATTTAAAAAAAAATTAAGTAAAAAAATCAATGCACGTGATATCCTACTATACGCCTTCCTCTCCCAAGAGATTTTCGTGATTTTTTGTCAACCCCCTCCCCTCTCCCCTTAAAACCCACGTGATTAATAGACGCTAACAATGTATGGTAGTTTTCACCGATGCTATTTTAAAGTAAGGCGCAAAATATTTGTAATCAGGCATTGCCTTAAATCGGTCGACATCGCGATCACTAAGTATGTCACATTGTTAATTTTTTAATGAGAGTAGTCTTTTGAGTCTTGAGCACTGTTATTTAGTTACGATACCTGGATATAATTTTATTATATCCAGATGTTTTTATTATCTTAATAATATATGGCTTTTTTAACGATGCTATTTTATAGTAAGGGGCAAAAGATGTGTAGTCAGTCAGTCATCACTTTAAATCTGTCGACATCGCGATCACTAAATATGTCACATTTGTCACATGTCAATTTTTAACGAAAGTACTTTTTTTAGTGTTGAGCATTGTTATTTAGTTGACGATAGCTGGATATAATTTTAATTATATTTAGTTGATGATACCTGGATATAATTTTTATTATATCCAGGTTATTTTCATTATCTTAGTAATGTATGATATTTTTAACGATACTATTTCAAAGTAGGGGGCAAAAGATGTGTAATCGGGCATCGCGTTAAATCGCTCGACTTCGCAATCACTAAATATTATATGTCACTTGGGCTATTTTTAACGAAAGTAGCTTTTTGGGTGTTCAGCACTGTTATTTAGTTGACGATACTTGGGTATAATTTTTATTATATCCAGGTTATTTTTATTATCTTTGTAATGTATGGTATTTAAAGAAAGGGGCAAAGGTGTGTAATCAGTCATCGCCTTTAATCGGCCGACATCGCGATCACTAAATAAAAAGTTTGCATTGTCAATTTTTAACGAAAGTATTTTTTGTCGTAAGTTTTTTTGGGTATTGAGCACTGTTGTTTAGTTTACGATACCTGGATACAATTTTTAAATAGACGTTATTAACTTCCCGTATGGTAAGTTTTTGTAATCGCAAAAAATCGAAAATGAACATTTTATTTATCTTTGCGTTTCAACGGTTTCTGAATATTTGGCATACCTCAGAAAAAATGGATGTGTGTGTGCGGGTACGGAACAACCGATTTGAATAATTCAAAAAACATTCGATTCGTATTAATAAGGAGATATGCTGATCAGTTTTTGGCGCAGGCGGGTCTAGCTGTTTCGAAGATACGGTGCAAAAAGTGCAAAAAATGGCAAGTTCTGAGAGTACAAATCGGCCGATTTGAGTGATTCAAAAAACATTCGATTCCTATTGATGTGGAGACGTACGGATTAGTTTTTGGTATAGGCAGGTCAAGCCATTTCGATGATACAGAGCAAAAAGTGCAGAAATTCCGATTAGATCCTAGACATCCGCTCATAGCGTTGTGCGTGAGCCTGTCGTTATAGCTGAGTTGGTTGGCGCCTCATTGCAATTATTGATTATTTTTATTCTTCGAATGTTTAATTACGGTACGGGAGGTTCCAGCAATTTGCCTTAAGGCACGATGCCATGCGTCCCACTAGTTTAATTTTTTTTCATAAGGTTTATTGTTATTTTTCAGTTGCATTCAACAGTTTTTTATAAAATCTCTAGAATAGCTTACGTATGGTTTGGAGTAAAATGAATCACTTAAACCTGGCAAATTTCTTTTCTAGAATTTTTCAAAATATATTGTTTTTCAGATTTTGGCAGTATGGACGATGGATCGATGTCGTCATAGACGACAGACTGCCTACTTACAGAGGCGAACTAGTATTCTTGCACTCTACTGAGAAAAATGAATTTTGGAGTGCCTTGCTCGAAAAAGCTTATGCCAAGTAAAAATACCTAAATTTTTGAAAACCTATTTTTACTATTCTATTACTAATCGTTATTTTTTGTAGATTGCATGGTTCATATGAAGCTCTAAAAGGAGGTTCAACTTGCGAAGCCATGGAAGATTTCACAGGAGGTGTCACTGAAATGTACGAGTTGAACGAAGCTCCTCCAAATTTGTTCAAAATTTTGCTAAAGGCCTATGAGAGAAATTCGTTGATGGGATGCAGCATTGAGGTAATAAGTCAACCGATATAATCAACATTTTTATAAAGACATTCTTCAGTTGTGCCAATGATTTTATCCATAGAATGCTTACACTTTGGCTCATTACTTAAAAAATTTTCAATCATTATTTATTTCCAGTAAAAAATTCTCATCTGTATCCTTAAGTTGTGTAAAATAGTCTATTTTTCTTATAGCCTGATCCAAACGTATTAGAAGCAGAGACTTCAGAAGGTCTAATTAAGGGTCACGCTTACTCAGTGACCAGAGTCCATTTTGTAGACATTGAAACTCCAAATTCTACAGGAAAAATTCCTTTGTTGAGATTGAGAAATCCTTGGGGTAATGAAGCTGAATGGACAGGAGCTTGGAGTGACCAGTAAGTAGAAAAAGACAAGTGACCCTTGATTGCAAGTTGTCGACTCTCATAATCCTTAATTTTTTTAGGTCTCCTGAATGGCGTTTTATTCCACCCCACGTAAAAGAAGAAATCGGTTTAACATTTGATATGGATGGTGAGTTCTGGATGTCCTTCAGGGACTTCTCATCAAGATTTGATAGAATAGAAATGTGCAACTTGAGCCCTGATTCTCTCAGCGAGGAAAAGGTATTACTAGAGTATTTTTTGTCCAACAAATATTATTTACTAGCTGAACCGGCAAACGTTGTTTTGCTAAGTAAGGTATATTCTAAACAATTTCTAGAGAATCAAAAATATTATTACTTTAAATGTATAAGGATACATTGTTTGAATGCTAAATACAATAAGGTATTATAAAAACAATAAACCCCATTAGTTTGTCTATATTTTGCCAATACAATAAAACTGGAAGTTTTATACACTTTCTATAGAAAACATTGTATAATCCAACCCAAGTCTTTCTTGGTTTTTCAACTTATTGATTACGTTTCAAAATTTTCAGATTCTTTTTGGATTCTGGATTTTGTGTATAATTGTAAATAATACTACTGAGCTTATACAAAATTTTCAAATTTCTGCGAGGAAAGATAGAAAATGAATTAAGTATTTCTTCTTTGACGTGCTTTTTGAAAAGGTTCAAGAAACATTTGATGAATTAAAGTAAATTTAATAAAAAGTATATATGTAGAACAGTGCGAGGCACAAAGTTCCAATTTGACTTTGAGCAAATATTATATTATATTGTGAAAATCAAACCAATTATATCACAACAAATAACACATTTCAAACGAACAATTATCTAACTACGTTCAGTAAAACTGTCAGCTACTTCATCATTGTAGAAATGTGCTTTTTTGCTGTCTTTCAAAAATTTGTTATATAGACCTTTTTACCCTATAGGCGGAATAACTTGTAACGGCCAGGTGGCAAACAGGTTTAATGTCTTATTTTAATTTTAATGGTATTTTACAAAATAACTACATTTTTAACTAATATTATTAAACTACCAACGGAAGAAAATACGTTTATTGTGGATTTTCAAAGATTACTGTTTATCTCCCGCTAGCAGGGTCATGAGAATCAAGGTTATAGCTGGTTATACATCTTTTTCCCTCTACTTTCAAATATTGTTGTTAAACAATGCTTAACTTTACTGGTTTTTGACATATCGGTGGTGGACCTTTTTAACCCTGGACCTTCATATATTAGTATCTATTCTTCGATAATCTCTGGGAAATTATAACTGGGAAAATGTTATTCCACAAAATGTCCCTTTGATCAATACCAAATTTGGTTCTGAATTTAAATAACATAAAATAAAAAATAACTAGAAAATGTTTTATAATTGCCATCAATGAGTACATAATTATTCAAATGAGATCTTTCAGAGCACCGTGTTTGAAAGAAATATGATTTGCAAAAAAACATGCTATAATGCCAAAAAGTGCATTTTCATATTAACGTTTCAAAAAAGTTGATATTTTGAGTTTCTAGTAACACTTGCGGCTCGTTTACTAACGTTTTTGTATATAAATAAAACTACAAACAAACCTGCTTACTACAATTTAATCATAATTAAATAATATTCACGTAAAACATCATCATCGAAACCAAACATCGTAATTGAACATCATCTGTCAAAAACGTTTGACATTTGACGTATTAGCCACCGTCCATTGTTTTATTCAAATTACGCTTCTACAAAAATGTTCAAATAAAAATGTAAAGTTTCTACACGATTTTGAAATAATATCTCACCTTTCCGACAACCTACTGATTAGCACTAACTTTTCAAGACTAAGACTGGCCAAACCGGTTTAGCCGTTTTTGAGTTTTAGCGAATCATTTTATCGAGAGCTCCATTTTTATATATAAGAAGATAACGTTTTGGTGTCTTTATAGTTGAGCCAAGGCAAGAAAAAGTGGGAGACATCCACATTCGAAGGCGAATGGGTACGTGGTGTCACAGCTGGTGGATGCAGGAATTATTTAGGTACGTTGTAGAATAATTTTTTTAATCAACAAAATATAATTCTAATATTTCTTCTAGATACTTTCTGGCACAATCCACAATACACAATCACTCTCGAAGAGCCTGATGAGGGAAGACGAAGAAGGCAAATGTACAGTCATCATAGCTCTTATGCAGAAAAATAGGAGGTCCAGAAGGAATTTGGGAATGGAATGTTTGACCATTGGATTTGCTGTTTATCATGTATGATTAATAATGATTGGCGATTATTTATCATTGATTTGAAGTAATATTTTATGTATTTTTGATAGTTGAGAGATCCCAACCGTATGCCAAGGCCGTTGGACATCAACTTCTTCAAATACAATGCTTCAGTAGCTAGATCGCAGTCATTTATTAATTTAAGAGAAGTAAGTAAAAATAATAAATAAACTAGGTGGTATTGGTATTTTGCCTTGAGGCAAGTTGCATGAACTTTCTGATATGTGTAAATAATCGACTTAATCAATAAAAAATAAATTATTTTTTGAGTGATTAAAAGTATTTTGAGTGGATTTATTACACATAATTGAAAACAAACGAACACGTTAACTTAGAGTATTTTCTGAGAGCAAATTTTCAAAAATTAATAATTTTTAAAATTGAACCAGTTTCCGCTGGACTTTCAAGTAAATCGTCTAATTTTCATTTTAACAAACGTCAAAAAAACTACTCATATCCTCATTGGGAAACCTGATATTAAGCAGTAGTGATATCAATTTTTTGCTAGAGAATAGCTTATACAGACATTGCTAAATCAAATTAAAAATATCATTACTATCTGGAAATTGTAATAATTTGATAGTTTTATCAAATAAGGTTTGGAAAGCCATTGGGGGGTCTATCACGTAGATAAGAATTATTTGCTGTTTCAAAAACATAAATAAAGTGAATGTAAAATATAGCAGCTTGGACTAGAATAAAATAACCTCATATGTATTTTTTCTAAAAGCAAAATTAAATCTAAATTAGTTTTTTATAATTTTTTTCCAGGTTTCCTGCCGTTTCAAATTACCACCTGGTACTTATTGCATTGTGCCTTCAACTTTCGAGCCAAACGAGGAAGGAGAATTTTTGTTGAGAGTATTCTCTGAGAACAAAAATCACATGGAGTACGTAAAATTAATGAATATATATATATATATATATATATATATATATATATATATATATACACATAATATATATATATATACACATATATACTAAGGTGGTCCTTAATATGGTTATTTTCGAATTTCTTTGCTTCCAGGTGCTCAAATGCTTCCAAATTGATAAAAATCAGTTCTCTGAAAGGTTTAGCTCTTAATATTAACTTTAAGATAATCCACACTCCAACCAAAGTTTCTTGGTTCTTTTTCCTAACAATAAGTAAATACTTATTTTATAAAATATATCAAATTTTTGTTGTAATTTTTTTTATTCATGATCAAAATAAGCAAATACAATGTTGTACTCAAAATTTTGATTCACTTGTCACTAAGTTATAGAATTCTAATAAACAAATGGAATTTTACCCATGTTATTTTTATAAAAAACTTTGGTTGCAGTGCGGACTATCTTAAAGTTAATATTAAGAGCTAAAATTTTCGGAGAATTTTCATTTATTAATTTGGAAGCTTTTGAGCCTCTGGGAACAAGGAAATTTTGAAAATATCCATATTAATTACCACCCTAAATTATATATTTATAATGTTACATATTATTTATGTTTTATGAAATTGCTTCGTAGTGAAATTAGTCATGGCTATGAAAATAATTTAATAGTGCTTCATGTTTTTTTGTATGTCATGCTAAAATTAAATTTAACATTATTAGATTTTCGGGAACGTTCTGAGAAAGGTTAGTATTGTAATAGCATAGATAAGTATCTAAATTTATGCTCTATGATGTAGTTTTATACGTAGATAAAAGTAGTATAAAATTATAAAAATAATACAAGGATAATAGAAGTTAATTACATAGGTCGTAAAATGGGATCAATTTATTTTAGTACTTGCGATCGATTAGTTAAATCATTTTGTATAAATTTAGTGTGGATTTAGGATAATATATTATTCATTATATTTTTGAAATTTGACTCTAGCTAGAGCAAAAATCGATAAAAGTTGTCTAAGTAAATACTCGTGGTTTTAATTCATAAAGATAGATTGTTAAATGTAGTCTATATTACTCCTATCTAGATTTAAAAAAAATCGACAGGGTAGCAAAGTGTTTGCAAACTTTTTAGGTCATTTTCCATTTTAATTTTGTTAGTAATTATCTGCTTGCTCAATTTTTTTTCTTGAGGAATAGAAATAAATGGGAAGTTTAATGTAGCATTTTTTAAACATTGAATTTTTTTCTGTTAAATTTACCTGGGAAAGAGTTATGACTGCCCACTTCATGGCTGTTTTTTGGGAAACTTTTATGTAGACAATTAAAAGCAAGTGTTTTAAATGAAATTAGTAATTAAAATCCATTTTTTTTAACAGACTTAAAATTCAGATCAACCTCGAAATATTAGAATATTCAATAAGTAACTATATGTTTTAAAGATTTTAAGTTTATATAAAGTACATATTAATTTTGTGTGATTTTGACTCCAAATTTGCAAGATGTTTTCTTTATTATTATTGTTTAAATGTGATTTTTTTCTTTTCAGGGAAAATGACGAGGAGGTCGGCGTCGGCGAAATTGATGACAGGGTAAGTTTTCCATCAGTTTTTCTCAAACTTTTAGACATATCTATATATCTATATCATATTAACTGCACTTGGTTGTATCAATGGTTCTTACAACTAAAATCCACACGAACACACAAATAGCTGCTAAATCGATACTGAACACCAAATACACAAATGCTACTAAAAATTCAGTATAAAAATTAATTCTTCACATTAATACAACGAAATCTCTTATGATTTTATTTTGTAGTCCAGAATTTTTTTAAAAACTTTTGTTTTTGGTCCAAATTATAATGACTAAATTGAAACTTTCCAAATTTTCTGTAGTACAGATATTCTTTTGAAAAATACATTTTATAATCCAGATTTTTGCAAAATTTAATAATAAAAAATGATTTTTCTTGTCCAGATTCTTTTTCAAAAATACATTTTTTAGTTAAGAAAATTTTAAAATACTTAGTTTAAAATTTTGTACAAATAATTATTGACAAAAATAATAGAAACATTGATATCGAAGAAAAATTCTCAACAATTAATTCTAGACTTAATTTTAATTCTAGACACAAAACTAATTTGTTTAAATTAGTTTGAATTGCAAATCCAGCAAAAACAAATTATTTTATGCAAATTATTAATTAATTTATAGTTAATATATTATCTATGTATTTATGAAAGTTTAGATATTTAATTAAAGAATTCTGGACTATAAAACAATCACAATATTAACATTTAACCGGACACACATGACAATATTTAATATAATAGAAACGGTAGTAGAAAATTTGCTATAAAATAGTAGATAGTTTAGAAATTAAGCAAAATATTTTTTTTTATTTCGACGAAGTATTTATTTTTGCGCTACGTATAAATATTTTTCTTTTGAGAAATTTTTGCTTCGTAGATTTTTTTTTATTTTTGGAATGCTGAAGGTGGTATAGTAGTGCAGTCGATGTGTCTATTTTTTATTTTAAAAAAGACATTTTGCAAAATATGATAGATTTTTGAAAACAAAAACACTTAAACAAGACAAAAATACAACAAAAAATATATGCAGATTAATATTAAAAAAATTACTAATTGGCTTTAATTTTCAGGTTTCATTTGGAATTAATGGTCAAATTTATATCATTTATTTTGGTCAACTTCTACCCTCATATTAAATTCATCTTTGTGAATAGTTTTTTACATGAAAAAAATAGTTTTTGTTTCAAATAACGAAATAACATAATAATTATATGGTAAAGATTCATTGAAAAGTAATAATTTTGTTATTTAGAAGTTGATCTACGATTTTTAAAAAATATTTAAATTTTATTACTGTACCTCATTAGTCATCTTCAATTTATGGGAAATTTTATTCATTTCATAGAGTTTTTTACATAAAAAATATAGTTTTTGTTTCAAAAAACGAAAAAAATAATTATATGGTGAAGTTTCATTGAAAAGTAATAATTTTGTTATTTAGAAGTTGATCTACGATTTTTTGAAAAATATATAAATTTTAATATCGTACCACATTAGTCATCTTCAATTTATGGGAAATTTTATATATATAACATTTATAAACAATTTTTTATAAATTTATTTTCTCTTCAAGAAACATTTTTTCATGGCCAAATCAAAGACTAACTTTAACAATTATGGTATGCATAAAATATAATTTTACTTTAACATTTTCTTTTAATTTCTAACAGGGAACATACATTTTGATCAAGGATACAAGGAAACATTTTAAGTTTATTCATTCTAAAAATATTACTCATTTGTATTAATGAATTTATTAGAAAATTTAAAGCTTCAAATTTGAACTTAACTCTGAATTTAGAATGCATTGTTCCTTTGGAATTGTAATTAAAATTAATCGAAGTATCTATTATTGTACTAGATAAATCAGATAAATATCTCACAAATGTTAAATGAAGCTTTTCAAATTCTAATTTTGATGCATTTGAGAGCTTTGAAGCTTTGAAATTAAAACTTAAATTATTTTTATTAAATATTTAGTACTGTACTACTGCACATTAGGACGAAATCATCTTTTTAGATTATTTAGGAAGTCTTTTTAGAGGTCGATTGAAATATTTCATAAACGGTTATTAATTATCCTAAAGTGTTGGATTCGTTGCAAAATTGTTAGTTTTTCCCCAAAATTTCCTAGCTTTTTCTACTGTACAGTTGTGGTTTCCAAAAAAAAATCTATGGAATATCTTGTAACTGCAATGCATTTTCTACTATCAATTAATGATTTTAAGACTACTTTTTTGACTTGATTTAAATTTGATTCAAATATTTTTTCCTTGATCAATTATCTATGTTCCCTGTTATGTAATGTCACTATATGCGAACGAATTTCTGGCATGTATCTGTCCGCTTTGTATCACATTATATTCACATTATAATTTTTAGGCGACTGGAGATAACTATAATGGTGGTATTAATAACGTAAGTAAAAAATAAATAAAACGACTTATTTATAAGACATTATATTCCTAAGCATCCTAGAAAAAATTTAAAACAATATTGCATAAACTATTACAAGATCCTGTATCACCTTTGTAATGTGTTTAATGTAGTACCAGGATAAATTTTCATAATAAAAAGGATAAGTCATTTATTCTTGTATTAATTTTAAATTTAGATTTTTTATATTTTTATTTTCTATTGACAAATATGTTATTTTTCAAGAAATTTTTACATTATGTCTTATAAATAAGAACGTAAGATTTTACCCCGATCAACCCCATATGTGTTATGTTGAAACAAATATATTTTAACAATTGAAAAGTGAACTGTTTAAATTTATAATAAATTACTCATTTAATGGATTTTATAAAATTCTCAGGTTTTATGAATAATTTTACTTAAATATCAATCGATTTTTTTTATATAAATTTATTTGGTCTCCTGCTTACAATTTGCCATTTGGTTTACATACATTTATTTTAGAATAATACTAATTTACTTATTAAAAATATCAATAAATTTTAATCTAATAATTAAAATTGAAAGTATTTAAATACTTTTTTCTTAAAAATCGTAAATAACGTTTTATACATTGATTTAATTTTTTTTTTTAATAAAACAGATATATGGGTTAATCATGGATCAATTCAATCAAAGTTTAGATCTTTGGAATCTGTTTTTTATTTATTTTAAAATCAGATTCTGCGTATTTTTTTAAAAATTATTTTCAATCTATTATTAAATTTGTAATTAAATCCACATTCTAAATCAGCTTTGTAAACTATTATTTTTGACTTACATATTATACCAAATATATTGTGATCACTTATACTTTTTTTCTTGGAAATAATAAATAACGTTATATACATTAATTCAATTTATTTGTTTATTCTTTTTAAATAAAATAGGGATATATGGGCTAAGGATAAATGGATGCATTCTCAATATTTAATTTATTGTTCATATAAAAATATAGATCTTTGAAATTTGTTTTTTTCTATAATTTTTAAATCAGATTCTGCATATTTTCTTCAAATTACTAAATCGATTATTAAATTTATAATTAAATCCGAATTTAAATAAACTAAAAAAAAACAAAAAAAAATTAAATAAAAAACAATAGTTAAATAAATAAATAAAATAAAAAAAAATCAAAATTAGCCTTGAAAACTAATATCTTAAAAAAATCTTCTATTTACTCTGACCTTCATGTAATACCAGAAATATTATAGTTAAAGTAAAATAAATAAAATTGCATAATGTAATAAGTACTTATGATTGTATATCCACGATTTTATTTTATTAATTATTTTTTTATTAGAAAATTTTGTAATTATTACATAAATGTCTAAATTTTATGTACTTTGAAACTTTGAAAAATTGTAAATTAAAAGTAAATACTGAATAATTTCTCTAATTTCTTTTTTCAATTGAAAGTTATTGAGCACAATTTTAATTGTTACTTCTTATGTACTTCAGAAATCATTTTAATACTCAATACATAAAAAATACTACTTCAACACTTTTTTATATACTTTTTATTTAATTATAAGCTTTTTATTTTTACTTCACCTTAGCACTATCCTTTTTTTTAATAGCACAATTTTAATTTGTTACTTCTTATTTTCTTCAGAAATTATTTTATAATTAAAATATTTTCTTTAGAAATAAATTAAAATACTACTACTTTTTTCACTTTTTTAACATACTTTTTATTTAATTATGAGCTTTTTATTTCGACTTCACTTTATAACCATTATCTTTACATATGAATTTAAAGCAAAAGGTCCCAAAAAAAATTGGAAAATTGAAAATGAAGAAAAGACTACTAAATATTTTCACTATTTATTAATTTTTGAAATTAGAATCCTTCTGGTTAATAATAAAAGAATAATTTGGTTCAAAAAACGTTAGTTGGCAGATCCTACATTTTAAACTTATATATAAATTGTACTAAAAGATTAAATTCAAAGAATTAAAAATTAACAATATGTACTATTTACTTGTTAAAAAAAATTGTTTCAACATAACACATTAATTTAAAAAAAATTAAACGTTGCAGTATTAATATTATATAAACTAATTATTATATAAGTACTTAACAGAATGATCCTGGTCTTGGTTTATATTTAAAATTTAATAAAATTAATACCCAATTATTTGAAAATTAACAAAAATTTGATAACCGGTGTTGTGTCTAAAAAATTTACTAATTGATAATAATTATTGATATTTATAAATCGTCTATAATATTATTTTCTTGTATACAGATTTATTTAGATAGATTTATACTTGAAAACAAAATTATTAAAAAAAGCCTAAAATTTTTAAGATAAAAAAATCAGAAGAATTTTCAAGATTGCATTTTTTTAATAAGTAGAATTATTTTTTATATTGTTAAATAATTTAGTAAAGTAAACCAAAAAGCGACATGCATTAGTTTAAAAAAATGATGTAAATGCATTTTTGGACCTATTGCGGTGTTTATTAAACTGAATTATATCATTTCATCTGCCAAACATATACAGTTGACTGTATCATATATTATTTTAATTTCAGACACATCTTAGCTGCTTTTCGGCAGTAATAATGTAGACATTACATTTTTCATGTATATTAAATTCTGATATTATCTAGGCTCATAATTTCAGCTAAATTCAAATTTCAAGTGAATTGACATTTTTAGCAATCAATTTCCAATCTTAGCCAACTTGTAAATTCTAATACTTTAGTACTTTGTCTAATAATTTTCATCAATTTTAATACAAAATTTCATTCTGATGTACATAGTAGTTGACCTAATACTCCACAGTCCAAAATAATTTTCAGTTGTGTTTTTAACTACTTTGTTTTCCTGTTTTTTTTTGTCTCTACTTTTATTACCACAAAATACTAATTTTCCTTTAATTTTTTTTCCAAAACATCAGATCGTGGTTCCTCAACCTGATCCAACACCTGACCAGCCCAGACCTGATGACCAGGTGTACCAGTTCTTCCTTCGTCTTGCTGGTGAAGACCAGGAAGTCGACTGGATGGAACTTAAGGAGATTTTGGATTATTCCATGCGGAACGGTAAGAAATTTTTTTTTTTTTGAATTGGTTTGATAATAAAAAATTAGATTTGGTAGAAGTGGATAACAAGATTTATATAGATTTATTCTTGATGAAGTAAATTTTTTTGCGTCATTTTCAAATTCGGTAACAGTTCAGATTTTAAAAGATGTGTTTGCAATAAAATTGACAAATTGTGTAATTATACATGTGTTTGATATTATGAAAAATTTATATACTAATGTTATATGGGTTTTGGATGGATATACTTCAATAACGAAAGTTTTGCTAAAAATTTTGCAAGTAAAATACATTCATTTAACAAAAAGTACTTTTAAATACCAAACAACATTTTTGAATATACAAAAGCACTTGAATGAATTTTTTTTTTTTTTTTTTAATATGAAATTAACAAGTTCTGAACCATTTTATAAAACTGATTAAAGGCACCATTTTTTTAATAACATTTGCCAAGGCATTTTGATACATATTCTTTCAAAGTCTACAAATTTTAAATGAGAATTTTAAATTCATAGTTAGACAATTAGTCTTAATTCTAAAAAACTTGGGGAAACTTAGTCATTATTTTTGACTGTGGTTCTAGAAATGTTATTAAGGGTTATGGATCCAAAGTTTAATTGAACACAAATCAAGAAAATTAACAACAATAGTCAAACAATTATTTAAGTTTGACCAAAGTTCTAGTTTTTTCTCTAACACCTTTTTTATGAACTAAAACTTAATTATGCGAATTTTTCTTACCACATGAATCTGTATATACGATTTTTTATAAGGAAATTTATTTATTTTAATATAATTTTATTTTATTTTAATATAAAAATGTAAATATATTATGAACAGAATTGGTAAAAAAAACTTGAACTCTATTTTACAATCCTAATTGCTAATTTTTAATGTTACTTGTTAAGGGACTTTGTTACATATTTTTTTAAAAAAGGCCTTTCAAAGTCGGCAAATTTTTAAAATTTTATCAAAATCATAATTTAACAATTTTTTAATGTTACTTGTCAAGGCACTTTTTAAAGAATGGTCTTTCAAAGGCGACAAATTTTGAGTATGTATTCTAAATTTAGAGTTTAACAAATCTTATTAATCTTAATAATTTTAATTTTATAAAAGTTGGTACAATTTTGTCAATATTTGTGATTATACTTCAAGAAATGCTATTTAGCCAATATTTAAATTCTAAGATTTCTTTCTGATATACTAAGATTAAATGAATAAAAATGATAAAAATAACCATAAACAATAACCAAAAATTATTATAGTTTTTCCACAATTTCAATATTTAAATCCAAAGACTAAATGAACAAAAATGATAAAAATAACTGTGAACAGTTTGTACAAATTTAATAAAAATTAATGATAATAACCGAAAAATAGTTACAATTTGACCAAATCTCCAGTTTTTTTTTCCCAAATGTTCAAAATGTCCTTAACTGGACAGATATATATTCTTGTAATTTTTTATAATTGCAATTTATATATTTTTTATATTCTAGTAAAAGGAGATGCGGTTTTTTTTATAAGGAAATAATAATATATGTAGATAATAAATGGAAATATATTATGAACAGAACTTATAAACAAATCTTGAAAACCAAATATTTCACTCGAAATTATGAAATTATTTTTGTTAGAATTTATTTATAAAAATCTGAACTGTTTCTGAATATAAAAAAACAAGTCGTTCTTTCTCAACTATTAGGTCTTTATCATATTTTAATTTAAAAGATATCAAAGCGAATAAATTTTTTCATAAAATCTTATAAAAAATATATATTTATTTTTTCCTGCTTTAGAATAGTATTTTTGAAAATTTTGTATTTTTAAAAATCAGTAATTATAAATGAATTGAATGCTGCTTGTGCCAATTAATTATAGTACAAAAGCTTGATTAATTCATTTATATAAAATGGTTTACTAATTATTTATACCACATTAGTTTTAAATTTTTGTACTAAATTTTGTCAATTAGTTTGGATTTTAGGTAGTTTCCTTTGTCTTCTACAAGTTTTATAATGTTATACATAATTTATATAAGTTTTTTTAAACATTTATTGCATATCAGTTAAATTATAATTTATCGATTGAATGATAGTTTATATTTAAATTACGAATAGCTAGAATTTATTAGAATTTATTAGAATTTATATAATTAGTTTTCTGCATGTGCTTTTTTGAAATGCTTTCTGTGAAACTTAACATCGTCCTATATATGTACTGGGTTATGATTGATTGGTGAACTTTTTTTATAATTGGTAATCATTTTTAAAATATGGTATTATTTACTTATGCAAAGTTATATTTTCTTCTTATTCTATCGTTAGGCGTTTAATGTTTGCTTTTGCTTATATTTTGGGTAAAAAAATTGATACACTTTATATATAGCTCGGCATGCAACACACTGTCTTATTGTTAGTTATATTTAATTAAGATGTAAATACGTAATAGTTATTAAGATATATTATTTTATTTGAATTTTAATTCTAATCCAATTTTTCCTTTTGTGAAATCGGTTCAGCCGTTTTTGAGAAATTGTCCATGAAAGGTCAAATTTTGACTTGGTATTTCACAAAAGCGACTTTTTTTTATTCAACAAAAGATTGATCAAATGCGCTAACTTTTATTCGCCAAAGCACTTTTGTACTTATTTTTTCATAAAAAGGCCTTTCAAAGTCGACAAGTTTTGAAAATTTTAAATTCATAATTTAACAAATTGTCTTAATTCTACAAAACTTGGATTAATTTTTTATTCGACTTTTGGCACAAATTTGGGTTATTATATTTTTTCAAACTTTGATGAAATTTTAAAATAAACCACTTGTCAAAGAGCCGTAAAATTTTAGTATGTTTAGTATAACCATGATCATCATAAAAAATTTCATCAAAAATGACCTTTTTTTTACTTTTCGTAGAGTAAGTTATAGTAATCGCCAAAAAATCGAAAATATTTTTTTTTTGTATATATTTATGTTTTAAGGTCGTCTGAATATTTTGGCATACTTTAGAAAAAATTGATGTTTGTATGTGTGTGTATTGCTGTGCGTATACAATTTTTCGTCGACGATTTCGGGAACACGGGTCAACCGATTTGAATAATTCAAAATTTGAAATATTCGATTCGTATTGATAAGGAGACATGCTGATTAGTTTTTGGCGAAGGCAGGTCAAGCCGTTTCGAAGATACGGGGCAAAAAGTTTCAAAAATGGTAATTCGTTTTTGGAGAGAACGGAGCGTTCGATTTGTATAATTCAAAAATCATTTTACTTGCATTAACAAGATAAAGAACTGATTAAATTTTCATGAAGACAGGCCTAGCGGTTTCGGAGATCTAGTGTAAAAAGTAAAAAAGAATGCCATTTAGCGGATCATTACACATATGCACATCAAATTATCAGATATTTTATAGAGATTTTAACAATAAGTATAAATTTTGTTTACATTCCTATGGGTTTCGTACCAATGTTTATCCGTTAGACGGCGACGCGGCGCTTACGCGCTTCGATATTTTTGTCTCTATGCAGTTAAGGCAGTACGGTCAGAATTTCCAAAATATTTCAAAATAATTTTTTTTCAAAAATGTTAATCTTTTTTAAAAAAAATAATTCTTGGTACGGGAAGTTCCAGCAATTTGCTTCAAGGCACGATGCCATACACCACTAGTTTAACATTTAATTACGAAGAAAAGGCCAATCTTTAGCAAACACTAATCAGCACGATTCTAAATCAATATATTTCGAATAGTTTTTAAAATCGATTAAAAATTGCGTGTTAAAATGTTGAAAAGAATTTTTTGTCACTTTTCTGTTGATCACGAAGAAACGGCTTGTCCGATGATTGTGCAAAATTGACCAACGCTAGTCCTCATCGAATTATATCGAATTACTTTTAAATTTTTGAAATCAGGCTCATCTACAGTCCCACAAGTACTTTCCAAATTTGGTCTCATTCGATTCAGAATGACTTGAGTGACTAACTTGAATGACTTGAACTTAGAATAAAATCAGAAATCCGGATTTTTTGGCGATAACATAAGAAAACGTTCTCCTCGGGAAGTTAAAAAAAAAAAAACTTAGCTAAGGTATAGGTATATTTCTATTACTATTATTATTATATTACTATTATTATTATTGCATGTCGAGGTATATAAGTGTAGCACTTTTTTCTATCCGCGTGTGGTATTTTCCCGCGCGTTCCATTTTAATTTCCCATCAAAAATCTGAAAACATCCTCCTGACCGAACAAAAAACAGAACTGCCCGGAAACCGCGGTCGCGCCGTGGCCGCCCTCGAGGGCACCCCCGGCGGCGGTGGTGGAGGACCAGGAGGAGGCGGCGGAGGCGAAGATGGTCCTGGTGTAGGCGACATTATATCTCTGATCTGCGCCAGATTCTGCGGAGACAACCAGGCCGCCCAGGAATCGTTCGGAATGACGAACGCGTCGCAGACTTTAGCTGGTACGTCGGATGATGAGAAAAAAAGTTTTAAGAGAATATTACATACGTGTAAAAATACCACACGGGCATTCTTGGCTAGGATTGGTTGATTTGTGCTTTTTTATGATGAACTCTAAAAGTTTATGTGCTTTTTTAATTTTTAATGTCAGACTTCATAGAAATTGGCCTTCGTGTTGTTTGATAAAGAATCTATTGCTTTTTATTCTAAATTATTTTCTAAGCTCAATTCTTAACTTAGAATATATGTGATAAAGAGCTGATAAAGTTAGACTTAAGGGGGTTGTTCTTTTTTTATTTTTTTTCGATTTTGAGATTTTTTGATATTATGAAAGCTAAAAACCTTAGAAATTTTTGACGAAGTTATAGATATATATATCTCTATACGTATGATCCTCTGAAAGCATTTTTTTATCGCTCCGCGAGCTATTGTATGCCAGCTGCTTCTTTTTCATTATAATACCCCATGCACATGACCTTTTAAATGTGTCAGCATCTTTGAACACCGCCGTGTATTTCGTACATTAAATTAAATGGTGTATTTAGTACATTATATTAAAAACTTTAAATACGTTTTTCTCATATTGACTTTTTTCAATGCGGTGCCGCAAATTAAAAAAAAAACTACAAGTCGGACCGACTTGCATTTTTTTTTAATTTGTTCACCACTGCAATACCTAGTCCCCCTACCTCCAAACATCTTGATAACATTACGCAAAAAAAATTTGTGAAGCTTTTCGTCTCAAAAAAGGGCTCTTTTTGACACTTTTTTTTTAAATAGCTGCCATTTTTTTCCTTCTTGCTTTTTTTCTTTTATTTTGGTAGGGGTACTGGATTCAAACTTCTTCTTCAACGTAGTTTCGTTTTTTTTTGTTTCAAGCGATGCGCAACGGATTTATCTGTGGCACCGCAAAAAAGATCGATTTTGCAATTCCCACTTTAGCGCCTCCTGGTTAACAAATGACGGCGACAAAAAAAATTATAAAATTTCTTAATATTCTATGATTTTGTAATTTTTGTTTAAAAAAAAGCGCATGTTTCTATGATCAATACATTTCGAGAAAAACAAAAACAAATACCTTGCATTTTTTGTAAAAGAACAACCCCCTTAAAATTAATTGTAGTAACGTTGACGTTCGGGATATTCTATAGAAATCTATTGCTGTTTATCCTTAATTTTTTTATTCAGCACCAAGATCAATTCAGAAACATATATAAATATTAGGTCGTCTTTTGGATTTTTTAAATTTGTTTTAGGATGTCCTGGAATCATTTTTATTCAGAATCAAAATTAGTTTAGAAACATACATAAATATTAAGTCGTCTTTTGTATTTTTGACATTTTTTTTTATGTCTTGGAATCATTAATTTAGTACCGAAATCAATTCAGAAACATATATAAAATCTTGAGTCGTCTTTTGGATTTTTGGATTTTTTTTAATGTCCTCAAGTCATTTTTATTCAGGACCAAAATCTATTCAGAAACATACATAAATATTAAGTCGTCTTTTGTATTTTTGACATTTTTTTTGATGTCTTGGAATCATTAATTTAGTACCGAAATCAATTCAGAAACATACATAAATCTCGAGTCGTCTTTTGGTATTTGACTTTTTTTTTGATGTCCTGAAATCATTCTTATTCAGGACCAACGTCTATTCAGAAACATACATAAATCTTGAGTCGTTTTTTGGATCTTTGAAAAAAAATTTCGATGTCCAGGAATCATTTTTATTTAGTACTGAAATCAATTCAGAAACATACATAAATATTAAGTCGTGTTTTGGATTTTTGATTTTTTTGTGTCCTGAAATCATTCTTATTCAGGACCAAAATCAATTTAGAAACATATATAAATCTTGAGTCGTCTTTTGGATTTTGAAATTTTTTGTTGTTGTTCTAAAATCATTTTTATTTAGTACCGAAATCAATTCAGAAACATACATAAATATTAAGTCGTCTTTTGGATTTTTGAGTTTTTTTGCGGATGCAATATAATATTATAATTTTTTTTATTCAGTACCAAAATTAGTTTCGAATTGTACATAAATATTAAGTCGTCTTTTGGTATTTGACTTTTTTTTTGATGTCCTGAAAACCTTTTTATTCAGGACCAAAATCAATTCAGAAATATACCTAAATCTTGAATCGTCTTTTGGATTTTTTTTTTTTTTGATGTCCTGAAATCATTTTTATTCAGGACCAAAATCAATTCAGAAACATACATAAATCTTGAGTCGTCTTTTGAATTTTTGAATTATTTTTTGGTGTCCTGAAATCATTTTTATTCAGGACCAAAATCTATTCAGAAACATACATTAATATTACGTCGTCTTTTGGATTTTTTATATTTATTTGGTTGCACTATAATAATTTTTATTCAGTACCAAAATTAGTTCAGAATTATGTGTAAATATTAAGTCGTCTATTGGATTTTTGAAAAATTTTTGCATGTTCTGAAATCATTCTTATTCAGGACCAAAATCAATTCATTACATACATTAATATTAAGTGGTCATTTGGATTTTTGATTTTTTTTTTTTTTTTGATGTCCTGAAATAATTTTTATTTTGTATATTGAGTCGTCTTTTGAATTTTTTAAATTTATTCGGATGCACTAAAATCATTTCTATACAGTACCAAAATCAATTCAGAATTATGTGTAAATATTAAGTCGTCTTTTGGATTTTTGTAACTTTTTTTAGATGTCCTGAAATCATTTTTATTCAGTACCAAAATCAGTTCGGAAACATATATTAAGTTCCTTATCTATGTATTAAATCGTCTTTTGGATTTTTTAAATTTGTTTTTGGATGTTCTGAAATCATTTTTATTTAGTACCGAAATCAATTTAGGAACATACATAAATATTAAGTCTTTTTGATTTTTTTAAATTTATTCGGATGTACTATAATGATTTCAGTTCCAAAATTAATTTCGAATTATATATAAATATTAAGTCCTCTTTTAATTTTAATTTATTAGGATACACTATAAAAAATTTTATACTATACCAAAATTAATTTCGAGGTGTGCATAAATATTAAGTTTTCTTTTGGATTTTTTAAGTTTATTTGGATGAACTGAAATCTTCGTTTTAAATAGTTTTCTTATTTACCAAAAATCTATTTAGAACTTGATGTAAATATTGAATCGTTTTGTGGAATTTTTGGGAATGTCATAAAAATATTTTTACTGTGCATCAAAACCAATTCAGAATTTTATATAAATATTAAATTATCTTTTGGAATTCATTCAGATGTCATAAGCTCATTTTTGTATCAAAATCAATTTGGTTTATAGAATATTGTGTTCTGAGATGAGATATAAAACACAAAGAAGTTTCGATTTTTATTCAAAATTCATATTTTTGCTTATATTATAACTCACGGAATTGATGTTGATGTTGGATTGATGATGTTGGATAATTTTCAAATCTAAAAGATCTCAAAGGGTGCTGAATTGTTTTTGAATTTGAACTATGTTATCATAAATTTTGTAAGTCAATATCAATATCTTTATTTAATTTATTGTTATAGAAAATATACATAAATAGGTTTAGTTTAGGTTTACAACAAGTAAGTTAAAGGGTTTAATCAAAATTTTCCAGATTTACTTAATTTTCACATATAAGATTTCTTTTCATTATGAAAACCCAGTATGTATATGATTGGAACTGTTGTTGTGTTCTTGAATTACTATATTCATATGCATAATATTTTGTGATGTAGTCTTTAGTACGTAGAATAGCATCTAGCAATCATTTTTATTTTTCTACAGTAAAATTAATTTTCAATTTTGTGCGTAATATTGAATAACATCAGCTTTCGGTGTTTGTCCACTAACAAATTTAACCAATCATCGTTATAATAGTGCACATGTAACATTTTCGATTAGATTACATTATTTTAAGACAACTCTCAAATAAACGTGATATATTTTAATATAACACTATTTATGGTTTATTTTTTAAATCGTGAATTATGCCTATGAAATAGGACGATCGATTTTTCTGGAGAAACAACTTTACAAGACAAAAATTAATTAGTCATCAACTTTCTTTACTTATCAAACTAGCAAGACAATTGCCTAGTTGTGTCTTGATGTTGTTCGAAATGAATCGATAAATTTCTTAAATATATAAACAATACCATTAAAAATTTATAAATTTAATTTTATTATAGAAGATATAGGAATTTCTATGTTCTATAAAAATAAAATATTTCTATGTCCCTTGCAATAGTCTGATGGTACTCCCAATTACCTACTCGTGTTCTGTTTTTAAGTGGAGATTCAAGTCAAAGTTCTACGTTACTTTTGATATTTTTTTTGTATTTAAATTAATACATTGTTCAATTCATAATATAATCTTTCTATTAAAATATTATCCAGAAACCAAAAGCCGCGGTTTCTCCAAGGATGTTTGTCGCAGTATGGTAGCTATGTTGGATCATGATCATTCTGGTAAACTAGGATACGAAGAGTTCAAGACTTTGTGGATGGACATTAGGAATTGGAAGGTTTGTAAACTTTCACTTTAATATATTGTTTTTTAATACCAGAAGAATAGGTATGAGACAAATTTGTGCAGAAATCGCCCTTCGTGGGCATAGCTGCATCATTCAATCATATGACAACTATTAGCCGTAAGAGCTAATGAAGTTCACGAAGCAGATTGCAATGATTGTGATTGTTACTATATTGGGGAAAATTTTCTAATAAATCTCTAATCATAAAAAAGAGTGCGTGTAAGGTTCACACGCGATTAAAGTAAAACTTATTTGCTGCTGTACAAGATGGCATTTAAGTAAAAATAAATACATCATATAACAATTTTGATTGATGTTTATTAATATGGTAATGCTTGTGATGCACACATTTATTAGTGCCAACTATTATACACATTTATATAATGATAAATTATAAATTATATATTTATAGCAGCATTAGAAATATGTATGATATGTAAAAACAATAATGTAATTAAAGTCATACTTCAAATATGACATGATCGGTTTGTCATTGTAATTAGCATTTAGAACTTGAACCTTCATTAGGGAAATGAAGTAATTGCTGATTAATAAATTCTATAATATTCGTTCACACAGTGGATTATGTTAAACAACGCCTAAACAAATATTGTTTTTTGCAACTTCACTCATCATGTAATAATTTTGTTTGTAGAACTTCATGTAATTAAAATTAACATATGTTCATTGACTGCTTGTATTTTTTTTTTCTTTTTCGCTGGCGATATAATCTCATTCTTTGAACAGCTGTAATATCTGTCTAGCCTGAAAAATATGTTCCATTTTAATAACTTCACAGATTCATAGAAGCTACGAATAATATGGAAATAACTTCTAATCAATAAACTTACGTTTAGTACACGGCACAAATGTTTAAATTGTATTATTATTTTCAAGGAACAGGGTAAAATATTCTTCTGATTCGGGAATTTTTCATTAAATCAAGATTTGTACTACGATGTAACTTTAAAATGTTTATTTATCTATGCCGATTTCTTTGTTGATATCGGTACGCATACAACGTTGATGCCGGTACGCATAAAACGACAGATCTCTATTCACATACACGACGACTAATGACAATCGACCCGTATTGAAATGATTTCATCGAGAGCGAATGACGTACAGTTCGGGCGTAACGCATTTCCGTTGCATTTGTATGGATTCGCACCCTAGTCGCGCCTAAAGAATTTTTACTTCAAAAAACATATTCTTTGAACACATTTCTTCCTTTATAATCACACTTCTAATACTAATCATTCCACTATTTTTTCTGAAGATATTAAATTTGATCTCGAGTATTTTTGCTTGGTATACTTTAACGATATCCTTAGACTACAATGATAATTTCTAATATGATTTTTTTTATATTTTTAGGCCGTTTTCAAACTATACGACCGCGACGGTTCAGGTTGCCTGAGTGCCTTCGAATTGCGTCAGGCCTTGAACAGTGCAGGTTACAGGCTGAACAACCACATCCTGAACATCCTGATGCACAGATATGGCACCAAGGACGGAATGATCGCCTTCGATGACTTCATCATGTGCGCGGTCAAACTGAAGAGCATGATCGGTAAGAATATAATCCTCTCATATATAAAAGTAAATCGGAAAATGTGTTGGTAAGCGCATAACTCAACAACGCCTGGACCGATTTGGCCAATTATTTTTTTAAAATACTCGTTGATGTCCAATGATAGTTCTTACGGCGAGAAAAAATCGAATAATTGCCGGGAAAACCCTAAAAACAGCCCTTTTCTTTTTCACATACAGACGTTAGTATTTTCATATTTTTGCCATCGGATACGGAATATTTACTCATGTCAATGGAGCGTTTTGGGTCTGAATTTTTTTACTGTGCTCCAATTCGTATGAAATTTTGAAGTTAGGTTTATCTTACTCTCAAGTTCAAAAGTGAAAATAATTTAGACTCCTTTGCCATTTCCCAGTAATTTCATTATTTTTTTAAAAAAAAAATAACGTCGGATATCGATAAAAGAACTAATCATAAGAAAAAAATGTTTTTATAATGTTTTTAAAAAAATCAAATACTCATCATTTTATTTAAAGCAGTTGTACATTTGAGATCCATATTCGTTGATGTATATACATTTCGGTATAGACTGTAGTGTAAAAAAACAATAATTTTTAACTAATTAGTAAATAAAATATCAGTTCAGGTTATTAAAAAATGGAACTGTTTTTACAAGAGTTTGTAGAACTCCTTAAAATACTGTTCTAATCGCTGCTAAAATGATATGTTTAACCGAAACTTGATTTTTTTAAATATTTTTTTATGCGAAATTCTACGTTATTTAGTGAGAATAAATTTTTATCACTTTTGCAATAGCAAGTAATATCGCTTTTAGTGTGCTTTATTTCAAATTTGGTATTTTTTTCGTTGAAATAAATGTTAAATTTAAAATAAACATTAAAATGAAATTTACGATTTTTAAAATTCCGGACGACCAGTATAAATTTTTTAAAAATATGGTTAATCCAGGACACATGCTCACTTTATATATAATATAATAAACGACGTAGTTATATTGGATATAGAGTAAGGTTGCTTAAGTCGTAATACAAAAATCTAAATTCAGTTCAAATATTGCTTCTAAAAAATCCTTATCGGGAACATATGCTCATCTTATATTGAATATATAATAAAAACCGGTTTTATATATAATATAGTGCGATGCTGCTCAAGTCGTACCCGTTGAGGATAAAATGCTAGAATAATACAAAATAATATAAAAATTTGAATCCGGGACAAATATAATCTTATATGTAAATTATTGAATTATAATGTTATATGTAATATATTGAATAACCTATAGTTATATCGAATATAGGGTAAGGTTGCTGAAGTCGTACCCGTGCTTTAAAAATGCAATAAAACAAAAATCTAAATCGAGTACAAATATCACTTTTAAAAAGTCATCTTATAAATAATATAATAAAAGGCCTAGTTATATCGGATTTTGATATATATACAATTATTAAACAATATGGATAAATTACAGTATATAATTTATAATGCTATATATCAGTATTTTTAAATTGGGTTTTGATTTTTCATATAAACATATGTTTTTCACGTTTTTGAAAATGTGCTTTAGGTATGTAAGGTGCCTTAGTCCTACCATAGGTATGTAAGCCCCTTAGTCGTACTTGGTACTAAAAAACTATATAGAATTCGGACCGATACCCATTTTTCTGTAGTTATTAGTTACAAATTCGAACATCATTATTAAAATAACACCGAAAATGAAATAATAGTCTCAAAAAGTAACTATATGTACTTATAAAATTATCAAATCTCTGGGTGCTAAGAATGGAGATGGAACTGTTCATGAAGATACAACCATTATTCGTTTTACCCACTTTTTGTTTTCCAATTTGAGTAAACGCTCTGAAAAATTGTATTTATCTAGAAGAATTCTTGTTTATAAAAAAAAACCATAAGACGCTCTCTATTAAGCCAGTACGAGTAATGAATTTTGTACAGGTACGACTTAAGCAAGCAAAGTTTTAATTTCAAACTTTGAAGACACCAAACCTATAACTAGGCCGATATAATTTCTTATATTGTTTGTAAAGTGATTTTTTTAGAAGTAATATTTGTACCAGATTCAGATTTTTGTATTATTGTAGCATTTTTTCATTAAGGGGTACGACTTAGGCAATCTAAAGGACTGCCAAATAAGTAATATAAATAAACATAAATAGGAAAAATGCCAGGATCATAATCTAGCCATAAAAGTCTTACAATAAAGTCCAAAATTTTAGAAGAAACTTTGCAAAAACCTTAATTTTCAATTATTTTTGTTTCATAAAGTCATTGAGCCACTTAATTAAATGAAAACTTTTGCTTACTCGACTGAATAGTTTGTTTCAACGAAGCCAGTTGATGTAATTCACAATTATCAAACAAAATATACTCGTGGTACGACTTAGGAGGTGGTAGTACGATTTGAGCAACTTTTTTCTATCCCATTTTGGAAACCACTGTCTAATAAAATAATGAAAAGACTAATTAGAATTCAAGTAAGTATAATAAAGATCAATACAAAATTATTAAAATGAAGAAAATGTTGCTAATTAAAATGAAAGAAAATTAGGGTGTCCCATGGTCTAATGATTGTGCTCACGGACTTGTGTGGACGGGGTTGTGAGTTCGAACCACGCTCTAGACAACCTGATATCGTGCAGTATTATGTTTCCAATTAAAATATAAAAAAAAAACAATTGGAAATAGGCCCATTTCTCAAGTACGGTGTAGAATGACAAAGGAAAATCTCTCCCACTATTTTTCCCTGAATCGACTAGCAATACTACCCCTTATTATTTCTTTATCATAATTGTTAATTTATATTTCAGATATCTTCAAAGAGCGAGACTCCGACGGCTCCAACACGGCGACGTTCAACATGGAAGAATGGGTCGAAAAAACTCTTTACTCTTAAACAAAAGGTCACTAATCTTATTATTAATATATATGAATCAAATGCGCGGCTAATTATTTTTTAAACCTATAATTGGCTAAACTACTCGTTAGGATTTAATATATAAAGCAAATCCAAAAAAAGCTTTTATTATACGATATACTTATATAGTGCCTACAAATTTTATTCCTAAGAACAAGTGTAAAAAATATTTTAACAGGAAAATACGTTCAATCAGTATTTTTATCAACTCGAAATAACTTTTAGTTAACAAATGGTTAAATTTTAATATAACAAAATATTAATATATTCAATTTAGTTTACATATTTCTTGTTAAAATAATATTTGTTTATTATCATCACGATTTTTACTTAAACGTAAATTTTAAATAAGAAACTAATGGTGTAGTTATGAATAACCTTACTAACTAAACTGTTTTAAAATTATCGACTAAAAAGTTTTAATGCTAAATATAAATGCCAAATTCTTTTTTTATCGACGCAAGGACTGACAATATTATCATACATATAAATATTGAATAAAATTATTGGGGTATTTTTAGTAATACTTTTAGTTCATGGTAATTTTATCTGGTCACTACAATTTGTGTCCAAATATTTAATTACTATTATATTTTAGATGTCTTTTATCTCCTGAATAATGTCAGTCCTTTTCCAATTACACTGAATGCAAAAATTAAATATTTATATAAAATAGATTTATTATCAAATATCACATGTTAAACCTCACGAACGCCAAATATATAAAATGTCCAATTTGTTAGTGATTTAAAATTTAAAATTTAAAATTCTTGGCTTTATTACCTGTTATATTATTGTCACATGATTATTTAAATTTGAATGTTCTTAAATTATTTAGAATATAAGTCAAAGCTAACAAATCGTTATTCTCATAATAATAATATATTGAAATAATATATTCATGGTTAAATATATATTTAAGTATCTATTCAGGAACTTATTATTCAAAAATAATAATTTTACTAGTGGTGTGCCATAAGGCAAACAAATTGCTGGAACTTCCCGTAACGTAACGAAATATTCGAGGAATATTAAATGTTTTCAAATAGATTATTATAAATACTGTAACTTATATATGTTTACAGAAAACTAAATAAACAAAACTTAATCAATCAAACCACTAAGCCATATTCCGTAATATTTAAGCAATTTTTACACAAAAAGTTGCATATTTTCGTCATTTTTACGTAAGCTTAAAGTAACAAATATGTAATAATTTCGCATGTTTTATGTCATGTGGATTACCGAAATATTTCGTAATAATTACGTAGTTTTTGAAAAAAATGGCGTGTAAGTGGCCTTTTTTACACACATACATAAATACATACAGGCATATCCGTGAATATGAACACACACATACACACAATATATATGTATGTACACACACATACATATAGACTATCTTAAAAATAAAAGGAAAGCACGTTTATATAACACAAGCAGAAAGTTTTTTGAATCATTCAAATCAGATGCTCCGTTTTCTCAAAAACTCAATTTCTATTTTCTGCACTCTTTGCTCCGTATCTCCATAACGGCTGGACCTGCCTTTACCAAAAACTAATCAACACATCTCCCTATCAATAGGAATCGAATAGTTTCTAAACCATTCAATTCGGTTGAGCCGTGCGCCCGAAAACGTGGACGAAAAATTGTATCCATACACACACACACACACACACATCCATTTTTCTGGGGTATGCCAAAATGTTCAGAAATCTTCAAAACGTGAAGAAATGTAAAAATTACCTAAAGATCAGTTACCATTGTGACAAGATGATTAATAATTAATTGATAGATATAATTTCAGAAATTTAATTCTAAAAAACAATATATTAATAATACTCCACATGTTTTTTAAAAAATTAATTCATTTGATTTTATGAAACATTATCAAATCCACAAAGGTGCTCCATCATTTTATAATAACAATATCTAGAATCGTATTCCATATCATACCAGTAATTCACAGCGATGCATTTATGACTCTGTCTTACGTGATGATACCAAAGACTGGGCAAATATAGGGCATCACCGGCATTAACTCTGACATGGTAAATATTACATTTATTATACTGTGGATATCTTTTTAAATCCGGTTTGAGAGGGTCAATGCTGACCCAGGATATTTGTTTAATATTTAATGGTGTCTCGGTATTTGTTTCAGCTCCAGTTTCAGTCCATGGTTTGATTGTGAAGTTATCATTTACTTTTTCAAAAGTTCCCACTGGATACAATGATTTTGGTACATATTGCATATCGGTTGGAGGTATTAATATGAAATCTTTGTAGCCTGATATTACACAATATATGTTTTCATATGGATCTTTGTGCACTAAAAATTAAGAAAAATATTATAAAGACTATAATATAATAATAAGTACTTTATTATTTTTTATTACTTGAAGTAATAGCTCTGCTATCCCCCATCCAAAAATTTACAGCGTCCGGTACTTTATCAAAAGTTTCACTGGCCCAAGAAATTTCTGCAGGTACGTCTTTAGAAAGCTCAGGTAAATCCAGAGTCAGGTTTGAATTTTGCTTCTGTATGTACATAATCTCGTTACTGCATAATATATATTAAAAATAAATTAATACATATAATTGTAAATGGAGAAGTTATATACCTATTTTTGTTATTTAGAGATTCTAAAAATTCCTGCATACGCATTTCTCTTTCTTCAGGCATCACAAAGTATTCAAGATCTTCAAAATCTTTACATTTTACATCGGAATGAGAAGTTAAGCCGTCTGCATATCCATTTGGAGTTACGGCTACGGTTACAATTTTATCACCTATTTTTTCACTACACGAAATAAATAAAAACAAGAAAAATTTGAATGAATATTTTGGTAAGTGCAATTTTTATATTATTAGATATTATTTATTACCAATTTTTTTTAATTAAAAGTTTAAGTAAAGTGTACCTCATATAATCCGAATTCCAATGTTGAACGGCATACCAATTCTGATTAATATTTCTGAATACGACAGGAATATTTTTTGATACATAATTTCTATAAAATTCTAAAGATTTCGGTGTATGATATACTTCTGATACTTGTGAGCCAAGAAATAGTTCTGTGAAAACAAATAAAATTATTCATTCATTTTAATCATTAATTATTATTTATTCATAAGCAAGTCGTAGACAAAAACAATAAATATTATTTCAGGCTCTTAATATATATTCAGTAAATTGATAAAACCCTATTCTGAAATAAGATTTGATAGTAATCATCAAACATAAAATATAATGTTTGTCTTTATAAATAAAGAAGTAAGTAAATATTAATTTACTATATTCAATTTGACATATTGGCTGCTGTTATATAAAATGATTTTAAATACCTCTTGCTTCTGTTGATAATATTTCGTAAGCATTTGCTAATTTTACATTTTCCATATTTAATACTTCTAATTATATAAAGACACTATTAATTATCATATAATTATTAAATTTAAATGAAATACGATATTGACTAGGCATTAAATCATCCTAGACAATATACTAATCATGCTAATAATTAAATCATGCTAATAATTTGACATTTGCTAACAATTTTGGGGTGTGAAGTTGCTGTATTATACTTCAGAAGTGTTTCACATTCGCTGCAAAGTTGAATGGGATTTTAGCATTATTATGTTGGTGTGGTTTTCGTGCTATGTTCACGTCTATTCTTTTCCAGTGTTTTTTTGGTACCTCGTTTTTTAATTATTTTGTGCGTTATTCATACGGTTTTAGTATAATTTTCTTGTGAATCGTGTGTTGCTCGTAATTATTAAATTTACATTTATTTTTTTAATTTCTAAGTTTATTACTTTTTTCATGGTTTTCTAGGTTAAGGTTTTTTCTTAGTTTTTACGTGTTTTATAGGTTAGGGTTATTTTCTTACTAATTATGTTCTATCTATTTTACACTTTTTAGATCGCTTTAGAAGTAGGTATTCTTGCATTATTTTATTTTTGGACAAATATATAAGGTACGTTTTAATCACTTAGGTTAGGTTGCATTTCAATTTATAGTTTAGGTTACATTTAGGTTAGATTTCATTTCATTTCTAAGAATTTCATACTTTGTAGTAACGTTACTTTTAGCTCATATTATAGTTTTAATATTTTAGTTCATATTTCTTTCTTTACATAAGCTATCTTTTAATCATAGCTTAAGTTAGTTCAGGTTTATGCTATAGTTCAACCCGTTTTATTTTTACATTATGAAAAAGCAAAAGCAATGTATCCATTTTGATTGATTTTGAATGCTTTGCCAAAAGATCTTGCATGCTCCTTTCTCATTACAGAGGCGCATCAAAACTTTTTATTTCTCCGTTCCTGGTACATATTCTTGAACCTGCATAGACTACTTGATTAAATTGAACATATACATGCATGTGCAAGAGTATTTCCATCTGACACTGGATTTAAACGCAGGCTTTTAGAAATGGATATGAAAGAAGAATCAGATAACTTTATTATTCAAAGTACTTCAAGAATGGAAGAAATTAAAAAGAATACTGCCAATGATATTGAATTACCTCCTGAAATAAAGCAAATTGGGTATGAACTTGTAAAAGTTATGGAGCAAAATCCGGGTCTTGATCCAAAAAAAGTTCTAGCATATTTTACTGAAATTATACAAGATGTATCAACATTTGCGAAAAAAGAAAAAGCAAGCTCAAACGCCAAGTATAAAAGTTAAACTGTTACTGTAAATCATGGAGAGCTTTAATATATAATATCAAAGCACTTTCAGTATTCATTGAGGTTACATGTTTGCAAGATTTGATCAAACGATGACACTAAACAAAACATATCCAATATTTGTGAGAGTATATCACTAGTATCAATATATTGCAAATATAAATTAATAAATAAAATATTGTAATTATTGTTCTGACTGCTATAAAAGATGGGTTGATATAAAAGCTTATTGAGTATTAAATACTCAAACATATATACCTAAAATTAATATTGATTTATTTTGGATTTATTAATGTAAAATGCCTTTGATTTATTAAAATGTTTGTTGAACTAAACAACCAAGGTGTTAATCATAGATAATAAAAAGAAATGTACTTACATAAATTACATCCATGGTGTTCATTTTGAAACTTACATATTTTTTGTCTTATCAGCAGTTCAACCTTCTTGCTTTTGCTTTGAAAATTAAATTTGAATGAAAAATATAATTTATCATGTGTAGTTTGAAATGGGTCTTTATTTTTTTCTAAAGTTCACATACTGTACAACCATTGTACGCATCGATTGATACTTAACAATAATTTATGATAGTATACTTAAGAGTATGCTTAAACTCCAACTTATACTATCATCCAATAACATTATTATTGTTTCTTACTACACAATAATTAAAGTTGTTGTATGAAGATCCATAGTGCGATTCCATATTCTATGTACACATGACTTAGTATAAAAATCTTTATCTACAATTACAAAATTCAACTGCCGATAAATTTGGTATGACTGCCTCTAGCTATAATCTCTCTACATTCTTTTTTAAACAGCTCGACATCCAAAAATGCTAACGTCCTCCCTGCTTTTCGAGTGTTGGCTTCAACAACGATTTGTTCACCAAGTGTGGCTCCTTTCAGGTAACTGACATGTATATCTACAGATACTCCGGGTGGTTTTTCAGCAGCAACTAAAGCAAAGGTGGACACAACATCGACTAGGGTAGCAGTGAAGCCCCCATGTAGGTTTCCAGCAGCATTTACATGCTCTTTGTCAACGGTGAATTCAACGACACATTTACCTTCCTTTTCAGCACTTATTAGGGTTAGTTTGTTGAGGCATTGGTCAAAACCTTTGGCAAGTTTGAAATATTCTGCTAAGGTCTTGACTGATCGTAAAGCTCCAGGCATTTTGACTAAATAAATAAGTAGAATAAATTACTTTGCACAACAAATTACAATTAACATTTTGTTACGTCATTCATATTATCATATTTGTTTGACAGTTGCAAATTTTGACAGTTACAACTTTTGACAGTTGCAACTTTTGACAGCTGCCAATTGCAAAGTAATAAATATTTAAATAACACACTTTTTAGCATAATTGTACCTCAAAAAATGTTTAAAAAACTCTTAGATATTTTTTAGTAATAATAAGAATTATATAATACAATTAAAAATCAAATAATTATTTGAATATGAAATTATTAACTTATTATTTAGTGATTAGTTCTTTTTCTTGTCGCTTGGCGCCACATGTCAAACGTCAACTACTTCATAACCTAAAAGTTTATTCTTGTTTATACACGTGCATGAAAATACAAATGTGATTTTTAGTGAAAAATATAAAAATTTAGGCAAAATGACTCTTGCTCAAAAGTCTCCTAATGTTAAAAAATTCAACAATAAAAGTGGTAATAAGAAAAAACGTGGCATTGCCAAAAATTTTGCTGAAAATCTTGAAGGCGGACACGAACTTTGGTTCGAAGAGGTTAGATTGAAGAAACTTAACTTTATGTTTTACAATGAATTTATGGTTGCAATTAGTATTAATTGGTTTGATTATTTATTTTAGGTACCAGAGCTTGAGTATGATAACACAAATGTCGAGCTGAAAGTTGAGGAGTTGAATAATTTAAATAAAGAAGCCAAGAAATGTTTTGATGCTTACCTTCTGCAGAGGACTAGAAGTATGTACTGACATTAAAATTAACTAATAGAAACAATTACAATTTAAATTCATTAAGTTATTTTCCTACTTTACATGTCAGAAAAGCAATTTCAATATTTATTGTAATTTTACATTATGATAATGAATTATGTGAATCCTTAACCGTCTGATTCTTGTCTAGAAGTTTTTATCAAGGTGACAACTAAGTGAGTGCAGATTTTTGTTGGTTAATCTATAAATGATTATGAGATTATAAACGAACAATATAATTATAAACAAATTTTTCAATTTATAATACAAGTATGTTAGAAAGACATGAATTGATTGCTTTTTAGAGAATACAACTTTTTTTTTTTTGAAATAACAGTTGAGCATTATACCTGAAATATCTTATTGACAATTCTTTTGATTCTGTAAATGTATTGGGAAAGTTTATGCAACTTGCCTTAAGGTAAAATTCTCCTTACCTAGTTCTATTATCCTTTTCCAGAAACAACCTCCCAAGACAGCTGGTTGAAAACAGCGGTTTCAAAAGGTACCTCCAAAGATCGTGCAACTGCAGGAGCACTATTAGTGGAATCAGATCCAATATCAAATCTATCGGCATTGAATGCTCTTATTGGACAATGCAAAGCAGCCAACAAAGAATGTTTAGAAGTCATAGATACATTGACAGATTTATTTTTAAATTCTTTATTGCCGAAAGATCGAAAATTAAAACCTTTGTCTGCAAGGGCTGCTGAATTCAGAGCTCTTAATGCTAAAACGAAAGAACTTGGTCCTGATGGTAGGAGTAAAATTTTGGCTTATTGGCATTTTGAAGCTGAATTAAAGGACTCTATGATAAGTAAGAAGAATAGATACAATCTATATATGTATATATATATATATTATATATATATATATATATATAATTGAATATTTATTTTCAGGCTTTGTTAGAAAATTTACAATCAAGTGCTGGTCTTGGTTTAGAAGTAACAAAATCTCGTGTAATATCTTGTGCAGCCAGATTAT